CGATATGAAAGCTCCTGGATTAAAGCGATGTATTTCGCCTAAAGTTAGTTACAACATTGATTGCTATCCAATATAATATCCATGATGAAAACTAAGGGAAATGCTACGGTCCCATTAAAAATCATTCAGTCGGGGTTCGTAACCGTTAGATCATCATGTAATCGTCGAGGATAATTGATCTAACGATTACAAATCTTGACGGAATGATTCCGTAAAGATACCATAACATATCCCGAAAACTAAAAGAAAGACTATGTTTACACACTGTTTTTTTTTTTTTTTATTCTACTTAAAAGCATTATGTTTGCATACTTACATGTCAAGTAACGCACATACATTATAATGTACCAACGAAACCGTGATTGTACATAATTTTACCTAAAAAGAAAAATAAATACCAAACTTCATAATCTAAACCTAAACAATACTCAACGTACAAATAAATTTAAAACAATTTACGAACAAATCTCACATTATAAGCTCATCAAAATCCAAACCCTCAGGTATCTCAAACCTCAAAAGGCTACTGCAAAAACTCTCCCTCTCATCTTCCATGCCGCCAATATTGACAAATCCCGAGCCCGAATTCAACCCAACAACCGGGCTACACGTGTCCGGAGTCGACAAAACCGAGTCGAATCCCAAACTCGGGCCGCCCGTTTGATCATTGCTTCCGCTCGTGTTCAACGACTGAAAGCTCGAGTTCTCTGACAATTCCGCCCCTACCATTTCCGAGAAAGGAAAACCCGACGGGTCGTAATTATTTTGAAATATCTGAGCGGTTGGGTCCGTGGGGCCCACGGGAAGCTCTTGCATGGGCTGGGCCGATGTATTAAGAAAAGGGGAGGTTGTGAGGTTTGCTGGGGTTTGTTGGGTGGTGATAATATTGTTTTTTTCAAACGGGTTAGGTTGGAGGAGTGGGCCCAGGTGTTGTTGGGCTTGGAGTTGCTGTTGATGGGCCGCCGGGTTGATCGCCAGCTGGGCCTCGTTTTGTGGGGACACGAGGCTCATCAAGGCTAGCCTTAGGGCCTCCGGGTTGAGAAGGGTCTGGAGCCGGAGGAGGTTGGATAAGTTGAGTGCTTGAGGGTAGGTTGTTAGGAGTGAGGATAGGTCGAGTAGGTCGAGCCGTGGGGCGTGGGTAACCGGGTCGATACCCATTTTAAGGAGCCGTTTTCGGATGTGAGTGTTCCAGTAGTTTTTGATCTCATTGTCGGTTCTCCCAGGAAGACGGGCTGCTATTGCCGACCATCTGATTATTGACACCCGCGGGATATCAATTAATTAAATTATTCATATTGATTGGTCCATGGTTTGAAATAACTGAATAGAGAAAGAGAAATTAGGTAGCTAGCTAGACAAGTATTATAACTACTTACTTGTTGCCAAGAACACTATGGAGTTGAATGATAGTTTCCTCCTCCTCAAAAGAGAATCTTCCTCTCCTGATATCGGGCCTCAGATAATTCGTCCATCGAAGCCTGCAACTCTTACCGCATCTTTCAAGCCCTGTAAATTTAACATGTTGAATTTTAGTCGATATTTTTTAAATCAATAGATATGAGTTAAATAAAAACGAAACAAATAGATTTGTATATACCGGCATTTTTGGGAAGGGTTCTCCAATTTCCGGGGCCGTGCGCATTAATATACTGAACGAGCTTGGCATCTTCTTCGGCTGTCCACGGGCCTTTCTTGAGCCCATTTTTGTCACAACAAGGTGATCTCCCCATTTGATTACTTCTCTTTGCTTCTGAGCTATGGTGAAAGTGTTAGTTTGTATTAGCGACTACTTTTTTATTATTATTTTGAGGTGATTTGATTAATAGGAGCTTTTTTTGCAAGAAAAAGTTTGATCTGAGTTAGTGAGAAGAGTACAACAGAGAGGCCTCTATATATAGATGAGAGTTAATTAATAAGGAGCATAGTGAAGTCAAATGTGATTTGGCGCCGGCCCCCGTTTACGTCTCTCTCTTTCTTTCTCACTCTTTTGATATATTATGTGTTGTGTTGTGTTGTGTTGTGTTTGAAGGGTGAAAATTTGTGAACGTGACGTGAGAAATATTGAGTGTCGACTAAGGAAAGGGGTGTGTCATCAAGGTAAATTAATTGTTTTGATAAAAGACAAATGTAAATTACGGCTCTATGGGTCAACTGTAATTTTGGTTAGGTAAGTTTGTAGCGATGATGTGTGTTGTGCTTGATGGAGAACTGGATTTTGAGTTGTCGGTTCTAACAATTGGTATCAAAGTTACGGTTGGTACGTAGCCCTGTTGCGATGTGGATGACGTGGCGTGTTCTCCATGGAGCCGGTGGACGGCTGGTGGATCCGTGTGCTACAAGATGGTTGGATCGTATGAATTTCGTTTGAGGGGAGACCCAATATGGTCTTGTGTTTGAGAGGAGGTTTGTAAGGTGTGCAAACTTAATCTCACATCGGAAAATTAAACGTTTTCAAGTCCGATATATAAGTTTGGTGGCCTACACCTTCTATTGTCAATTGGTTTTAGAATTGAATCTCATTTGGGCTTGTATGTTGGACTCGATAGAGAACTGAGTTTTGAATTGTTGGATTTAACAATGTTTGGATTTTCAGAATGTCTGTTTTTAGCTAATATTTTTTGTTGAATTAGCTCATACTTTAAAAAAAATTCATATAAAATATTTTGTGTGGGGTTTAGATATCCAATTATTATTCACCAAAAAGGAGAAAAATGTCTAAAGTCTATACACTGGATACATGATCTGTATGGGAGACTTTAAAGTCAAAATACAATCTGAATACGATAATTTTTCTAGCAGCACACAAAGTAATGTACCATATATATATATATATATATAATACTATATTTAATTTCAATATATATAACAATGTATTTGTAATTACTTCTATAATTTTTAAAAACATTTTCTGCAATAACATAGGATTCAATTTTAAAAACATATTTTAAAAACAATGTATTTATAAATTAAAATTTTGGAAAGCACTAGGAGGTTTCCATGTCAACCAAAGGAGCTTACATGGAATATTTATTTTTATTTTTTTCTTGATAAAACTCGTGGTAAACTAGGATTGAACAGTTAAAGTGACAAGTGGCTGCTTAAAAAGGCTTTTGACTTTCGTAAAAAATAATAATATAAAAGAAAATACAAAATAGGAAAGAAAATGAAAAAAAGGACTGAATAGTTGGTACGGTTGTTACATCTCCTACCCGATTAAAAACCATATATGTTTACACTTTTCAAATAGCTTGCTTAAATGGCTCAATAAACTAATTATTGGCATTTAATTTTCGATTGTGACCCCTCATTAATTTTTAACATATAATGTTGTCATAGACTCTCACACATGTTATAAGACAATGGTACGGTCTCGTTATGGAACCATTTCGTCGGAGTTTGTAAACGTTAAATCATTATGTAATCGTCGGGAATAGTTGATTTAACGGTTACAAGTCCCGACCGAATGGTTCCGTAACGGGACCGTAGTATTTCCGCATGTTATTTAGTGAATTAGTGATACTTGTAACATATATATTCATAATAAAATATTATAATTTTAAAAAATATATATAATGAAAAGTGTGATATTACATAATATAATAAATAAATTTGATTTCAAAAACCATGATTATTCGACTCGTCTAATAATCATTAATTATTTGGCGTAAGCATTTGTGATTTTCTAGAGCAAGTGTCCAAGTTAGTTAATAGAATAGGTGAGTGATACTATATTTTAATAAAGATGTGGAAAGTTTGCTTTGTGTAGTTATGTATATTGGGAAACTTTCAAAACTACAGATTTAATTAGGTAATTAGTTATATATACAAAAGACTTTATCAAAGTGAAATTACGCACGCAAAGGTTAATTTCCTTATATGTTGTCCCAAAGGTTAAATCCAACAACACCAACAACAACAACAACAAAATCTTTTAGTCCCAAACAAGTTGGGGTAGGCTAGAGATGAAACCAAATAGAAACAGTGGTAAAAAAAAAAAAAAAAAGATTGGAGCAAAAGAGAAAGAAGCAAAAGTCACGGTTCCGGCACGTTGATCGCTAGCCTCCAAGCGCTCCTATCCACCGCTAAATCTTTGGAGATATTCCAATTTTTAAGGTCTCTCTGAACCGACTCTTCCCAAGTGAGTGTAGGCCTACCTCTCTTAACAACATCTGCCCGCTGGAGAACTCCCCTTCGCACCGGTGTATCAGGAGACCTCCGTTGGACATGTCCGAACCACCTCAGCCGATGTTGAACCAATTTCTCCTCAATTGGAGCCACCCCGACCCTATCTCTAATATCCTCATTTTGGATTCTATCTCGAATATCCTCATTTAACCAACCAAAGGTTAAATCCAATCGAAAATAATTTTTGACTCAAATTCAATATCCTCAATTGTGAAATTTAAATAGTATTTCGTATTCGTAATATATGTGAATCCAAATCCAATATACACATATTCGACTCAAAATTTGTAGAATATAAGATTCGTGAATAATGTATATATCAATTTAATAATTATATAGAATATAAAATTTTATGCATATAATAAATATATCAAATATGGAAATATTTATGCATTTATATATAGTTTCGTAAATTATGTCAATTGTATTCAATTATCTTAAACGAATCGAATACAAAGTATAAAAATAAAAATAAAAATACGTACGTATTTGCAAATTGTCATTAATATTTTAATTATCTTTTCCCACTATGGAAGTTGAGTCTAATACGTGTTTACCTGCTACAAGAGCCCAGTTTCAATTCGGGAGCTCCACGTATGCGTGATGAATAATGTTTCTCGCCTCCATTTTCGTCAACGCACCTCACTCGTGGATAATAATAATTTATTTATTTTTTCGAATAAACTAATAATTTTCTTTATTATTATTAAAGTATTATATGTGTGTGGGAATGCAGCAGTGTTAAAAACTCTTGAGGGAGAGTTTTGCCGCCCTTGTCGTCCTACCCGACTTGATTTCGAATTAATTGATTCCCCTGTGGATCCGGAAACCGAAAGGTCCCTGTACCAAAAAAGTATTATATGTGTGAGTTGTGCATATGGTCCCGTTAAAAAAATAAATAAATAAATTGCGAGGCATATAATTTGTTCATAACTGTTATCACTGGATTGAGCCTTAAACATGACTTCATTAGTACAACTTACTTTTGAAGTTATTGTTTTATACTTCGAAGTTGTAAGGATGCATCAAAGTTTGTATTTACTTGTGGTTAATTTCCCATCTTCTCTTAAATTACATAAGATTAATAATGTACCATATTAAATGTTTTGTTACCCGGTCTAGACGAACAGGTCGACTTGGGACTCGATATTGAAGACGAATTTTTAAGAGAATTTTGGTTATTAAAGTATTTCACAATTAGTTGTTCAACACCTGATCGACTTGAGCATGACTCGATCGACCCGACTGATATAAATAAATAACATTTTTTCCATATATTCTTGAAACTTTTTTTTCTTTTCTTCTAATTTTAAGAACTATAATGTAAGAAAGATGATAATATCACAACATTCAATGTATAAGATTTATGTACCTATAAAAAAACTAGTACAATATAAAGTTTTTTCAATCATTTGTTTAATTATACAATTTACCTTCCAAGGCTCAAAACATAGATCTTATTTATCTAAAATTAACTCCAATTCTAACTAGGCTCGCGCAAATCGTTCGATTCATTTGCAGCTCTAATTATGACAAAATGATGAGATCGTTGAGTATATCCATATATACCAAAATTAGCATAACAAAAGTTACTCACTCTTCTTCTTCTTTTATAAATGAAAACCATTCGAGAAAGTTGTTTTGACTTCAAAAATTAGAAATTACTCAGATTAATTCCCATGAAAATGGATGAAGAAAGAAGCTTTTCAAAGTCGTTAGATTTCAGGTAATTGATTCATCAAACTCTTAGCTAACGAAATAGATTTCAGGTCAAACTATAGTTTTTGTACGCTATTATTATTATTATTATTGTTATTATTATTATTATTATTATTATTATTATTTATTTTTTATTTTTTTCTTCAATCATAAATAAATTAATTGGGCCGTGGTCAAAAAGCGATCTTCTTTGGTGAAGCTTTCTTGTCAAACATGACTATCTTCACTTATTTCTATGTTTATATTATATTCACCCATATATATATATATATTATTTGGAAGAATAAGCCTAGCTACATGTACGTACGTACGTGCATTAATTGTAATACTATTATGGTTAAACTAAAAATTACAAAGTACTTTCAATAATATCCATTAAGAAATAAATTAATTAAATTTCGAAATGATACTTGACACTTGTTAGATGACATGTAATTAATATGATTATATACAAAACAAATTTTAAAATAATAATAATAATATATTAGTAAGAAAACAAATTGTCAATTATAACCACTTGGCCATTTTCCTTGCTTAAGGGAATTCATAATTAATGGACACTAAGCACAAACAAGCTTAATTAGCATAACTAATTAAAATCTAATCTAGGGTTTGCATACGCAATTAACATACTTTTAATAGTAATTAGTTGTCACCAATACAGAATTTTATAGGAAATTTGGCCCTAATTAATTTAACCCACCACGTCATTTAATTTAGACTCCCCATAATTAATAAAATTTTCAGCTGAATCAAATGTAGTATGAGGTGTACATTAATCCTCAACAAACTCAGAATTATATATTCCGTACCGTTCATTTTATTC